TGTTAGTTGTCTAACGATAGGGATTTAATTAGCTTTATAAAGTAGGACAGATGGGCTCTGAAGGGCTGAAGAAGGGCAGAATAGCAAAGAGCCCCAAGAGGCCATATTTTGAACATGATTCATTTGACCTAACTTTTAAGATTTCTAATCCTAGTTACTTCTTAGATAGTGAACAACTTAATGCCTTTTTGCAACTTGATCTACTTAGCTTATTGCAGAGATCTCCTGGATGCAATAAATTGTTTGCTAGAAAGGCATCTAGTTGAGATGAGAATCTAGAAGGAGATCTAGAAGTAGATTTGTCCAGGAAAATCCCATCCTCGGAGTCTTTTCAGTAAGTGACCTTTCTCATTTAAAGAGTGCACCACTACATTTGCATGATGTATCACAGACCAGAAGTGAAATCCTTCTTTATGTGTGGTTTAGCTCCCTGCCATCCATCCCACCAAGCTGTTCTAGGCATAGATGTCATAAGGAAGTGGTAGAAAAAACAGTAGAGGCAAAATTTATTTCTCGGATGAATAGGTACAGTTAGGAAAATTATAGATGCTTTTAAGCCTTTGTGGAGAATATTAATATGCATTAGTGGGAAACCTTTCAGTATCTTGGGCAAGACAGCAGAACTTTGTTGCAGCAAAACAGCTGAGGAAAGATAAAAAAAAATACTTTTATTAATAACAATAGTGTCAATTGAATACAATGAAAGCTCATATTTTAAAAAACGGTATAATGCATAGCAGAATTGTTGTGTGGTGAGGAAGTGGGAGCATTCACCCGTTCTTTGTGATCGCTGGTCTTGGGTTTTTATTACTGATGTTTCAACTGAGATGAAACTAAAATGTTTCGTTGCTCAGGGAGGAGGATGAAGTGTGAGCAAAGAGCCACGCGAGGGAGCCATTGGAAGCTGTAAATTTGTCTCGTAATTAAGCAGCCTGTTCTCACTGAAATGCACTTCGCTGAAGGTTGTGCAACATTCAGAGGAGCACAGCATCTTGAAAATAAAGTTTTTTTTTCTGAGAGGGAAGCCACCTAAGTGCTTATCAAACACTTGAAAATTGTGTTGAAGTAGATTAAAAAAGTTGTGCCTTTTAAAAGTTAACTCTTAATTGGATTTAGCTACCGCAGTATAACTATGCAGTTTAAAGATATAATGTTTAAATTTCTACTTTCTAAGTAATAAAATATGTAGTACAGTCATGATGTCATTTTGCTTTTGAATATGAACATAGCAGTATATGGGAGGAAACATCTGCCTACATCATTTGTTCAAACACCGTGATAGTGGCTCCCTTCTCTACTTGTCTCAGCTACTGTACATATTTCTCCATGCTGTCAGAGCCTTGCACTGGGAAACCTCTGGATGCTTTACAAAATTGAGCAGAGATTAAACGCATGTCTGAACTCCCAGATAGAATTAAAAAATGAATTTAGCTGTAAATGTCTCAACATAGGGATAAACGTGGATATTAATTATATAACTAGAGGGACTCAATTTACTTTGTAAAGCAATTAAAAGTAGACAGAAACTTATAGTCTGATTCTGAAGAAAGAATAATGTCTATTTAAAAATAACCTCTTACCCAGAATAGCTTTCCTGTCTCATATAATATCAGTTGTGGAAGAAAAAATACTTGTGCACTTACAGCACTGCTTCTCTATGGGAAAACCAAACCCAAGTTTTAAAACAATAGAGGTTGATAATTAGGCTGTCTGACCCATATTTAGGCATGTAAGCAAAGGATTTGCTTTTCAAACACACTTGACAGCATGTCAAAATTTTGCTTTCCCTTGTTTTCATTTTCTGGGGGCAGCTTAAGGCTGCAAAAGAGACCTCTGCTTCCGTGGACTTTGTAAAAGGGGAAAGGAGTTGGGTATTCTTAATACACAAATGGCAAATCTATTCTAGAGTACAGTTTAATATTGCCCCTAGGTTATTCCAGGCTGGTAGTTGTGTTTCTTTGTTTGTTTGTTTTTCTTATTGTTTAAGAGCAGATAGGAAAGTATTCCTTCCAAGCACATTAATTGGAGGTGAAGTTTGCTCCTGTTTCCATAAGTAAAGCAAATCTATAGGAAAACTTCATTAACCAATAGCACCTCCTGCCAAGAGGCATGCTGAAGGAAGATTATTCTCTTCTTGGATACTTCACTGCATTTTACTCTTGTCTTCAGTATGAAGAAACAGGATGCTTGGTCGGTCTGCTTAATACTATACATGCTTTTTCCTTCTGGGATTTTAAGCTTATTTCTATAAGACTTTTTCCCTCTGCCCTGTTGTGAGTGTGACTATAGAGGGATTTATAAACAAAAGTAGTTTAATGCTGACAGACATGATAGAAGGAGAAAAAGCTGAGGCTGTGCTTGTCTTGATTGTTTATTTCTAAAGAGTTGTGAGAAAGAGCTTCAAAAAACACCTGAAAGACACCTGAGAGAGAGAGCCTATGGGAGCCAGGGGCTATTACCTTTTTACTTCAGTAGACTCTCTGCTTTTATGTCACTTTTTCTGAAGTTAAAAAAAAAAAAAAAGAAGAAGGGTTGAAGGCAGTGAGAAAGAAAATCAAATTCTGAATGCCTTTCTTGGGTGAAATGTTACTGAAGCATACAAAGTTCATCTGAGGAAGCACTTCATGACACCACGAAACATTAAGGCTTCTATGGTAATTTCAAGCTTTTTTGGTGAGAAATGGTGGGGTTTTATGTTGTAGAAACCCATGTGGGCAATCCAGAATGCATTTCCACACTCCTCAAGGAGTTCAATACACTGAAGGCGATGTCGCTATCAAGGCTGAACATGCTGCATGGAGATACAACATGTACTTTATGCAAGCAAGGTTCTTGCTTGCATAAATTCAATGATTCAATACACTTGGTGAGGTTATGAGGTTTGTCATCAGGCAATGTCTTCAGATGTCCTTGAGCCAGTAATATATCACTTTCACTTCTAAAACTCTGTGGACATTTTTAAGTATAGAAATAAGTCTTCCAAATATCCCATTTTTCTTTTAAAAGCCTTCCATTTAAAATAAGAAATAAACTAATAAGACACAGGAAGAACATAAACATTCTTCAGCCACTTTAAAATTGAATTCCTTCCCAAAGTTTGCACTCTTCGTTTATACTTCCCAGCAATAAGAAAGTGAAATTCTGATCATAAGCGAGTCATATTGTACTGGGGGCTTCAGCATGTCCAAGCCTTCTTGGTGTATCCCACAACTGTGTCTCAGCTGGTTTTCAGGTGTGTTGCAGTACTCACCCCATCTGGACAAGGGGGAAGCAAGTCTGTGGGGCACACTGCAAATTATACTGATCTGGAAGTCAACACACCAGCAAATCAAAACTAACTAGCTTCTCGGTGGCTACCTTAGTGATTTTTAAAAGATTAGAATCATAGAATCATAGAATGCATAAGGTTGGAAGTGACCTTCAGAGACCACCTAGTCCAACCCCCCTGTACACCCAGGATCACCTAGAGCACGGGGCACAGGGCTGCATCCAAGCAAGTCTTGAATATCTCCAGAGAAGGAGATTCCACAACCTCTCTGGGCAGCCTGTTCCAGGGCTCCATCACTCTCACTGTTAAGAAAAGTTTTCTTAAGTTCCTGTGGAACTTCCAATGCTTCAGTTTGTGGCCGTTTCCTCTAGTCCTATCACTGCCCACCACTGAAAAGAGGCCAGCCCCCTTCTCCTCCCTTCCTCCCTTGAGGTATTTATAGACACTGATCAGCCTCCTCTTCTCCAGGCTGAACAGGCCCAGCTCTCTCAGCCTTTGCTCACAGGGCAGATGTTCCAGGCCTCTGATCATCCTTGCAGCCCTGCGCTGGACTCTCTCCAGCAGCTCCACATCCCTCTTGTACTGGGGAGCCCAGAACTGGACACAGTACTCCAGATGTGGCCTTACCAGGACTGTGTACAGGGGGACAATCACCTCCCTCGACCTGCTGGAGACGCTCTTCTTAATGCACCCCAGGATCCCGTTGGCCTTCTTGGCCACCAGGGCACACTGCTGCCTCATGGTCAACTTGTCGTCCACCATGACACCCAGGTCCCTCTCTGCGGGGCTGCTCTCCAGCAGGTCCACCCCTAATCTGTACTGGTATCCGGGGTTATTCCTCCCCAAGTGCAGGACCCTGCACTTGCCCTTGTTGGACTTCATGAGATTTCTAACCGCCCAGTTGTCCAGTGTGTCCAGGTCCCTCTGGATGGCAGCCTCAGGGCTATCAGCTACTCCTCCCAGTTTCGTATCATCAGTAAATTTGCTGAGGGAGCACTCCATCCCTTCATCTAGGTCATTAAGATAAGGAATATAAAAGACTTCTCTGCTATTCACCATATAAAGATATGCAAAGGCTACTGCAGTGGGAAAAACTAGAACCTGCCTTGTGTTGAAGTGTTCAATTTCCAGATTTACTTTTCCTTCTTTGAATTCTAGGTCTACTTACTTTCATCTTCATCTATATATCAAGTTTATATATATATATATATATACACACACACACTCTAGTAAAGAAAAGCATATTAATGAACTTGCATCCAGTTTATTTAATATCACAGCAGTAATTACAGATAAATGTCTTCAAATCTGATACTGCTAGAGATGGCAAGATACAGGTACCCTGAAAAAACAGTGGTTATTAGTAGTTCTGGAATTGCATGTGTGGTGAAAAGATGAAGGGAATACATGACTAATATTCAAATTCAGTTTCATAGGTACTGGGTAATACTGTTTTAAATGCCTTACTCTTGATATGGCAGGGTATGCATAGAAACAAAGTAGAGCTGTGCTTGTCAACACCGAGAACTATATTCCAATATTTCTTATCTTTCAAATAAGTGAAAGAAAAAATATATTTTCCTTAAACTCAAGAAGTGCTCTTTGGTCAACATTTATTAAAATATGTTTTATTTTACAACCTTAGTGCTAAAATTGTATAGCTTTTTATGTAATCTTACAGGGGTGCACATCTTAAAATCAGTATTCTGCTGTGATAAAGTGATTTTACTAGCTTCTAGGCAGGTATAGCTTCCTAGCAGAGGTAGTCTTCAGCTCAGAAGCTTGCAGAGATTCCCTCTGTCCCCTGGCAGTGGTGAGAGGGAGTCTTTCACCTTCAGATCACTCCTTTTTCTTTCATAATTTCTGTTTGAGGACAGCACTTTTAAACACACTGGGCTAAGTCCTTATTTAGTTAAGTCTACAGCCAGAGCTCTGAATGTCAATCGGCAACATATTTAGACCTGTCTGATGTTTCACATTGGAGAAGAGTAGCTAACATTCTTTAGTACTCTCTCACATAGCATTTCAATACCATAACAATGACTAGGTTTTAAAAGCATGGGTCCTTTAGGAAAGGCATTACACCCAAGTTAGGAACCCAGGTCTTACCAGCAGGCTGACCTTTAATTCCAGGCCATAACTCATGCTTCGTGTCAGCACACATACATGGGCTTTACAAGCTTCCACTCGCAATTAAAAGTGAGCAGGCATATATCCATGCTACAGGTAAGTAGACTTCATTACAGCAGATGAAAACTGTAAAGGGAGTCAGTGCATGTTGGCGATGGCCCCGACAAGTGCAAGAAGTTACATTGACCCCATATTGACCCTAGGTATAAAATGATTTCATTAAACTATGCCTTGCCAAGAACAGTCCCATGCACACTAACATTTCACTTCTCACTCCCCTCAACCATCTCTACTTTCTTTTATCACTCAAAAACAATACTAGAACAAGAGACCATACTGCCTTGTTTGCCTGCCTCTGGTACTTCTGCAAGGACCAGCAGCTTTGCAGTTAAATATCTTTGTATACTCTGTCTAAGCATTTGATTCATCTCAGCAGGTGTCATCATCCTTGGGCATATGATGATCCAAGTCTTGCTTCCTTGAGTTAAATACAAAAATGCTAATGCAAGCAGTAGCAGTATTTTGTTTTTCTTCAGTGCAAGTGTTCTTGCCATAAAGAACATCAAAGTCCAGAACAAGATTGTTGGTCATCAGGGCTGAGTGCAAGACTGAATTTATTGGAAAGAACTGTTACACCTGGAAGCTATTATCCCAGGTTGCTTTCATGTTGAATGAATGCAGGGTAAAACTCTCATACTCCAAAGAGGTGATGAGATGAAGGGCAAGAGGGGCAGGTCAGAGATTAAATGACATAGCCCTAACACAATCTGTAAAAGGACTGGAAACAGAAGCTGGAGTCTTCTACGTCTAGACCCTGTCCACTTCACCACTGTGTCTCCCAGCTTTGGCTTGCACTATCTTAGGCCTCAAAATAGAGACTTTTAGAAGGAACTGACTGGATCCCAAGTGCTGCCTGTGCTGCCATTATTTCAGCTTCTTAGTAATCTTTTACACAGATTTCCTCCTTTTTCCAAACATATTGTTGATTAACTTGGCCATTGACTTTGATCCACTTGGCCGTCTCTTTTCCTTCACTTTGAAATTTGAGGTGACATTTCTTAGGACTTTCATGAACATTGCCACTACTTCCTGATAGTGTTCTGCAGCTGACAGTTCACAAAACTGGCACCTGTTATCCATTGCCAGCTTCTGTCCTTCATCCCAGCCGACTTCCCTCATGTGGCATAAATCTTGTTTGTTACCAACCAGAAACACTGTTGACTCCCCCATCCTGAAATTAAAAAGGTTCTGATTAGAGAAAGGCTGCATTAATCATATATTATACATTCTCCAGTACCCTCTTAATTGGCATTTCAAGACTATATATATGTATTACTGCCCCTTGCAGACTGCTTGCAGTCCTTAAGCTGTACTTTAGGATCATAAGCACAAGAGTGGAGGAGAAGCCTAACACTACCTGGAAAGAGTTTTCCATTAGCCAAGTCAAAACTCAGAGCTTTCTAGCCAAAAAGTTATGATAGGAGGAAGACCTCATTTTCATTTCTCTACTAATTTTATGTATTTTTCTTCCGCTACTGTTTTCATACTCTACAAGGCTGAATGTATTTTCAGCTCCTGGACTGCACAAAGAAGCAAGGTGAATGTTATCTCTCTTTGTAGATGAGAGATGACAGATTTGTCAGAGAGAAATCTAATCAGACTAATCAGTGTCAAAGGCCTAATTCAGATGAAAACATAGAAATCCTAATTGCAAGGATTTTGCTATAATACTTTCATCCAAAGAAATTATATGAAAGGAAGGTCAGCTGTAAAGCAGAGAGAAAAGCATTAAAAATTTACTGCTGATCCAAGAAAAGGATTTTATTGTCATTTATTTTGGATGAGTCTTAGCAGCTTGATACAAGGTAACAAACCACCACATATATTCAGGCTCTTAGAATTTCTGTTGCTGTTTTGGGGGGAATTTTATTTGTCACCACATGGTAAACCATTACAAGTGACATTTGTGTCACCACTAAAGGCAGTTTAAGAGAAATTCATTCACTGGGGGAAGCGCTTTCTTCTCTATTTGTGCATCTCTACTGGTAACGGAGTGGGACAGAGCTGCACGGAGAGGCCGCGCCAGTGTTTTACCTATGTGAATCACAGCAGATAGATCTGTGGCAGTTATTGTAAGAAATACAGTGGCAGTGCTGTAAGAAATAAGAGGGAAAATTCTCATGAATTTGGCCATGGACACACTGAAAGAGCTTGTAATTTGCAAACGAGTTTGCCTTCAAGTATCTAATTGTTGGCATTGCTGCTAGGACCCAACTGCATTTGGGGCTGCTAGGATGCTTGCAGCTCACAGAAACGTGTGGATTTTTCTCCTGCGTTGTTTGAGGGAAGCAGAACTAGCGCCACTCACTTTTTGCAGGCTCCCAGGCGAGACTCGCGGATGCGGTAGAGCAGCGCTGTGGCAAACGCGAACGACGCTCTGTCACTGATGTCGTAGACAATGATAAAGCCGTCAGCCCAGTGGAGCTCGTCGGTGAGGGAGAGCTTCCCCCGCTGCGCTTGGAAGAAGATCAAATTCACATGAAGGAGGAGGCTACTGCTGTCACTTCAGAGCAGTCGCTTTGTCACCGCAACTGCGAGAATGCTGCATCTTTCATCACTAAAGATATAAACAGGTCTGTGTGCCACACTGAATTCAGGGGAGTCCTGCTCCCAGGGCCTAAGGAGTGACTATTGCTACACATGGCACTTCGGATCATTGACAAATTCATTATAAAACACCTCTGCTTCGCCTAGCAGTTAGATGGTATGATCTCCATAGCCCTTCTTTCAGTAGAGGTATGCTGAATATTCTGCAGTGTTACAAGTGTTGGCCATCAATAGTTGTTGGTTTATAGCCATGGCTTGCTTTTTGCACCCCTAGTGTTCTGACCATAGGGAGCTTAATGAATTTGCTAAAAGTTTTGTTCCCTCTCATTTCTTATTAGCTTTGTTCGTCCAAGTCTCCAAATATTTTCTTTTCCATGGGGTAAGTCTCATTAGCGATGAAAGATCTTTCAGGCTGCAGTTGCCTTTGATATGAGTGGTGACAGAAAAAAAATATTACTCAAGGGATACTGAGGACTGTATCAGTCTTTGGGATCCTCCAGCTTAAGAAAGGATTACAGTTTCTAGAAAACAACTGCTGCAAATTTCTCTGTTGAGCTAAAGAAATGGCATTTAAGCACTATTTAAAATTATTTTGTGCCTGTAATCAAAATTATTTTTTTTAGTTCCTTCTCTTTTACATTAGCATGAGGGTAAAAAACTTCGCCAATTTTTAGATTTGCTTAAACAGCTTGCTTTGCTGTGGACAGTAATCCAAGAACTGTTTAAATTAGTCCCTCATTAGTTTATCTTAATCTTTTGCTCTTTGCAATATATAACCTCCTCCATACTCTTCCACCCCTCCCCCAGGTTGCCTAAATTAGCTCTTCATGGAGGCAGCACCATGAACACAGCTGTGCTAAGAAGGCTGTAGCTTGACATGAGAAGTGCAAAGTGAGTAATAGCTGGGAAAAGAGGTGCATGAGAAAGAAAAGATGAAACACAAGTTTCCAGAACTGTCTGAGGACTTGAGTAACTTGAATAAAAGTATGTGAGCTTTGTGGGGGCTGTGCAGCAGGTTTGGAGGCAGGAAGGAAATGTGGCAGCTGCTTTCCAGATGGGTGAGGGGAGAATAGGGAGCTTTGCAGAGGGGAATCCAGATCCCTGAGGCTTCCCACTGGTAGCAACAAGATTTCAGGAAGCACACACAAAAATAGAGATTTTTTTCCGCCACAGCTTGACATTTTCTCAGGACCTGCTCATCTTCCCTAACTCCCATGGGACAGATACAGCACTTTCATACCCCATCCATACTTTTCTAGTGTTATCTGTTCCATCTCACAAAAGTCCATACCACCAATTCTTCTACTCACTACCTGTTCCTGTGCAGGAGCTCAAGGAGAGACAAGGACAGAGCAGCACAACACAGCAAAATTCAGAGTTAAGCCTAAGAAATAACTGGTACAACTAAGCCAGAAAGAGGAGCTGCCCTTCATCATAGCTGATCTCCTGTCTCAAAGAAGAAGAGGGTGCCCAGGGTATAGCTGACAAGCTGTCTGTCCATCACACTTGCAGCTACACCCTGGGCACCATCTTTCATGTGCCCATCATGTGCTCATTCTGCTTTGCCTTAGCTAGTTGCCATTGCCAATGTTTTAAACATTTTATTAAGAGGCTTTATTAAAAGGCCACAGGATTTAATAAGACAGAAAGTGAAAGCTATGGGTTAGCTAAGGAGAGAGGTCTGAAGTAGGTGGGAGCAAGTCCATAGATTAGTAGAGTCTGACAGCACAGCAAAGGAGGACTCCATGTAGTATTGTATCATGACACGGGGGCTATATCAGAGCCTTTATTACTCTGTGACAAATAATGTTGAGTATTATAAGGAGCCAGGATGCTTATCTAGATGTCCAGCCCAGGAAAATGGAACACCCAATATGGATGCTGCAAGGAATTACAAGTCATTTCCCTTTCTTTCCCAAATGAAGGATGCAGTTACTTGTCCCCAAAAAGGGCTTGATTTTTTAATTTATTTTGTGCTCACTGGGTTGAGTTTTCAGTCCTTGAACCAGTTGCACAGCTTTAACACTCATTGTCTCGGTTAAGAGACAAACTCACAAGGATCCCTTCTGGGAAGGTCATGTGATTAACTAGGCAGACCTATCCTGGTCTGCAGGTTATTACAGAATACCAAAATCTTTCTATTCTTGTGATGGCAAGAAAGAAAAAGTTATCATCTTTTTTCTTTCAAGTTGTCTTACTGTGGTCAACATTCAGCTCTCAACATGTGAAGTCTGCAAGGTGGCTTGCCTTTGATCTGTGAGTGTAAGTCTTGTTTCTAGGCCTATGTTTTGACTATTTCTACAAGCATTTAACATACCACTTGTTTTATAAACAGAATTTCGGTGTTTTAGGAGATTTGATAAAACTGAATGGCATAATTTTATATAGAAATATATAACTGTATACCTAAAACTTTCTGTCCAACTTATCTGTATTTAACTGTGTAACATGGGAGCAGCAGTTAATCTTGCTAGTAGTATTCCAAAAATGCAAAAGCATTCACACAAAAATTGTACCACTTCCATAAAATGAAAAATATTCAGTGTTCTGAGCCACAGCAACTATGTAGTTTAAATCATCACAGATAAAAATAGCAACTATAGATTCCAAGCACAGACAGCAAGCATGGATTTCCCCCACCCCTTCTATGCTTGCACAGGTAGAACAAGGAACAGCTTTTATTTGGCCCCTAAAGTTCTTACCTGAGAGCAAGGGTCATAAATTTCCAAGTGAATCTGCCTCCCATCCAGGCATAAGTGTTTAGTGTAGATGCATTCTAGAAGATACATCACATTAAAAGAAAATCAGCATTAGAGAGACTGGCAGTGGTAGTGAAGAAAGGGTAATGAAAGTGAGATTTGCTGTCTATTATTGAGAAATTCTTTAGTTCCTCCAGTTTGGTAGGATTCGCTTATTTATTTTTAAGATGGAAACCAGTTTGGTATAGTTCCTTTAGTTATTTTTAAGCTGGAAACAGACCCACTCATTCTGTAGCACTTGGCCAGCCATATGAGGAAGGGATTGGACAGCTCAAGTACGCAGTTGTATTTCCATGGAAGTGCTGGTGTGAATAATGCTGTTAAATATTTTTCTCCCAAAATTGGAGACAAAGGGGGTGCAAAAATGGCCATAATTAGCTAAATGCCGATGACACTATTCACCTTGTTCTCAAGGCTCACACTTATAGAAGTAATGAGCTAGCCTGTGCTTAAGTGCTGACTGTACAAAAGCCACCACTTGGTAATAAATATTAGTACAATTATTCCAATGCTCATTTGCCATGAGATTTATTACTTTATTAGGAGTTACCATACAAAGAAGCATTAGACCAGAAGTATTTATAGAATCATGTCCTTAGACTAGATCCTGGTATTCCTATAATGTGAACTCTTAGATTTAAGACTCACTATCAGCACTAGCAACCCTGGAAACTCTACTGTAGGCCAACCACTGCTGGTAGCCAACAGGTTGTCTGCAGTACAACTCCTCAGTTACTGAACACCCAAAGACATAAGTTTGTATTGGCACTACTAAACATATAGGTCAAATTTCTCTTGTGTATTCAGGCCATAGATAAGGGTTACCTTCTCTGAATGTGTGTCTTCTGTTCAGCAGCATGTTCATCTGAAGCATATTTCATGCCTGTCTTAGTTCATATCAGGCAAAGTCAGTCCCAAAGATCCCAGAGCATCAAATCTGTAGCCACCAGTGTTTTCCATAAAGTATTTTTAGTTAATAATTTTAACTGCACTGATGTTCTGTAGTTTATCACCCATATTTGATGATACACCCCTTCTCAAAATTCCCTTTCTTTAAGTTTATCATCTTCAAACAAACATCTATTTACAAAACCATTTACATATGGATTTGGTTCTTTTTGGATTGTTTGTCTCCTTCCAATACTAGAGTGTCAGAAAAAGGAAACCTGTCTTTGTGTTTAATTTAGGATCCATTTGGAGCATGAGGAACAGTATATAACTTGCTTTTAAAAAGCTTAGATTATAAACAACGTGGGACACCAACTCTGCAGTAACAACATTGATAAACAACCTATGTAACCCTGCTTTTTAAGTAAATTAGTTTAGGTGTATAGCTGAAACTAAACTTAGTGCTGGTCTTTGTGGAACATGGAAAGCTACTCTGATTCTTGTCAGAAACGTGTTGGATTTAAAAACAGGCAGAAGGGTAGATTAATTATTTATTCATCTTTGTTTATTAAGTTCTGGGACTTCTCATGCCACACGAGCTGGAGTGACACACTTCAGAAAATGTCTGCATTCCTTCTAGATAGTACCTGTACTGCTTCTCTGCAAGATGTGAAGGTTCAACTCCTGCTTTGCCATCTCTGGGATGTAGAAGTGCCCTAATTATCAATGTATGTATTCTAACATGAATGAGAAACCAAGTCCTGAGCTTGGCAGGACTTTCCACAACTCTCTCAAACCACCACATTCCCACAAGAGCAGAGGGCTCTGAATGGGGCTTGGTGTAAGCAGAAGTGCCCGATTAACAGCCTTGTTTCTTGCACCTCTCCTGTACTGCTAGTTAGGACATAGTCAATAAAATAACTTCAAAAGCATCTACTACTTTACTCTCATCTTTGGTCTAGTGTGAACTTGCCATGAGCTACCCAAGCCTCATGTGTCCTGGATGCCCTTAAGTCCCTCCACAAGTGCTGCACCAACTGCATCCACTCACTGCCCAAGTTTTGGGCAATGTTCAGCTCGGCTTTTCCGAGCTTCTGAGCTTACTGCTACCCAGGCTGTCCGAGTGTCAAACAAACCCAGACTTAATCTCAGCCAGACTTCTGCTAAAGCGATTACCTGTGAGGAAACGCGCACACTTTTCCGCGGCCCCAAAGCCCCAGCCCAAGCCCCTGCTCACCGGCATTGGACGCGTACTCTCCGATGAAGCGCCGGGTCAGGAACCGCACCGTCAGCGCTGCGGGGAAGCAAACGCCGCCGTTAGCACCGACACCAGCACCGACACCGGCACCAAGCGCGCGGGGAAGTTCGCGCGGAGCTCGCCGAGCCCCCGGCCCGGCCCGGTCCTTACCCGACTTGCCAGCCCCGCCGCCGCCCAGCACGGCCACCTTCACGTCGGCCATGGCGCTGCGGAGGGTGACGGCTGCGGACGGTGAGGGCCACGGCGGTGACAGCCGCGCCGGGGCCGCCTCTCCGCGGCCGCCGCCGCTTTATGGGCTGCGCGCCGGCGGCGACGCCCCGCAGCCCGCCCACCCGCGGCCCTCCTGCCCGCCCGCCCGCCGCCGGAGGAGGACCGCGACGGCGATGATGATGATGGTGGTGGTGGTGGTGGGGACGGGTCAGTGGCTGTTTTCGTCTTGGGGAGGTGGCCGCGCCGCTGCGAACGGAACGGGTCAGCGCTGAGGCTCCGCTCAGGCGCCCCCCTTCATCCCGCCTTGGCTTTGCCTGCAATTCCTCGTCCCCAGGCGGTATTTCCTGGTAAATGTCTGGCCTTGTCCTCTTCCCGCCCCGAAATCCCGTCCCTTCGCTGCTCCGCGGTTAGGAGCTGTCGGATTGCTTTGCATTAAATGGTTAAAAGCTTAGAAAAACAAGTGCAAAACAACCCCCTCAAGATTGTACTCCAGTTCCAAGTTAAGGCTTGACTTGTTTACTTTTGCTTTATATTCAGTTCTAGGTTGTCATCCAGTGGAAATGTTTATTTGGAAGGTAAAGTGATTCTTTTTTTTTCTGCTGTTTTGAGTGGTAACTTGCTGGAAAGGGTACTTTGCACATCCCTAATGTTCTCCATCCCAAGGCCATGAAGCTGTTTTCACCCAGAAAAGCCTCTGATCCTGCAAGTGCTTTTTGTAAGTGTGAATAGTCATTGATTTAAATAAAGTTTCTGAAGTGCCTGAAGTTATTATGTACTAGATGGTAACTTGACTAAGGTTTACAACACTCCTCTGAAGCAGGAAAATACGACGTGGAAGCTGGGGCCCAAGGAGCTAAATCCACAGCAAACACACTTTGCTGTTGCTGTATGATTGATTTCATTATAAGACTCCTCAAGTGCTCTCTTTGCCCCTGCAAGTGAATAAAATACTTGTATGTATATGTTTAGTCAGTGTAGTGGTGAACAGAAGACTATTCTAATAGCCAGGCTTCACGTAAATACATGTTCTGTTCCTCTTTATTGTATTGCTGTTTTTTTTTTTCTTTCCATTCTGCTAATATAAATTGAATATACTTATTCAATCCAATATTTCTATTCTTTTTTTTTTCTTCTCTTGAAGCTTTTATGTATTGCATGACATAAATCATTTAAATCATTTCAATATTTGGCTCTACATGCTGGTCAGTGTTACAGAAGCAGCAGATTTAAATGAGTTCAAAAATACAGCAGAGAAGGAATGTGAACACACATTTCTTGTGTCTGCTTGGAGGAAAATACACTTACTTAAAGATAAAGATGCAGCTTGGCTACAAAGTCCCTAACTTAGAGGTTGCTATTGGCTGGAAATGTATTCTGGGAATGCCCCTGCGTTGCTAATTTATGTTCTTTTGGCTGTCGTTCACTGTCAATAAGCAAGGTACTGGTTAAAAAGACCTTTAATCTTACCCACTATGGCTATTCCAGCATTTGTCCACAGTCCTCCACTGTGCAGGAAGCTTAGACATCTGTATTAGGGATGTAGCAGTTTGTGCAAAAACAAGTGCTCCAATACTTAATGTTACGCTTGGGATATAAATTGTCAAAGCTCGTGTTACACTATTGCAAAATGAGCAGAAAACAGTTTTCCTGTTTCCATTACTGAGACTTAACCACATTATCTCTTTTTACCACCTAGGTGGCAAACATAATGGTAGAGCACTACCCCCATTAAAGACTACCCAGTCTGCAACTTTTTTTTTCTTTTAGTAATGAAAAAAAATTCTTAAGAAGAATTCCTTAAAGATTCCTTAAAGCTTCAGAATAATTATTTTAATTAACTACTAAACAACATGGACATTTCCTTTTTACCAAGAAATTGCTTTCAGTAATGCTCCCTGGCACTAAATAGAATTGAGAAAATTCATAATAGAAGGAATTCCTGAATATCCACTCAGAATTAATTCTGCCCTTGTTCGTAAACTTTTCCGTTGTTATTTTTATGTTTTGGAAACACAGAGATATTTTTAAATTCCTCCACACATGGAGTGCAGATCTCAAATTTCTTCTGCATGAATATCCACAAGGAGCACAATTGAAATCAAGTTCTTCAATCCATCAGAGAAGAGAGCGATCTTCATCTAAACTGGCATTTTTGACATTTCAAGTTAGAAATAACATATTCGTTGATTAGCTTACTGAACTGCTTTGAGTAACAGTTCTCTTAAAGAAATGTATCATCTGTTCAAAGATAGGTTGTAAAATAAACACACATTCTTTATGAATTACGTAGTTTGGGCGCTTTGTACAAAAGGCTGTGGCTATGCTTGGACAGTGGGGTGGACGCAGTTGCTGCACCTTTCTGGAGACCTTTGAATGCTTGTTTCCTGTGTCTGTGTGTGCTCCCTTCTCGCTTCTGTTGCCAGGACTTTTTAAAAATGAAGCCACCTCCTTTCTTGGAGACTTTGTGAGGTTTGTTGGTTGTGAGGTTTGTTTGTGAGGAGTGATGGCCACCCTCCGGTACTGAAGTGGTTTTGCTTTCATTACCTCTTGTTTTGTATCCTGGCAGAGGTGAATAGAGAACAGTTAGCTCATGACACTGGTGAACAGAAACTCCTATGCTAGTTTCAGCTCTGGCAGTCAAAAACTGGTTAGAAACGAGTGAATTCAGCTTGTATAAAGCACTGCTATGAAAAATGGTAGGCTTCTGGGAGGTATAATGGAAACAGGTTATTAACCAAATAATTCACAATGAATGTGGTGAAGGATTGAACTGTATCAGCTAGGAATTTTCACAAGTGGCTGATCACTGGTCAGGTGAGGTCACTTTCCATTCTGTTCCCAATCCCAGAGGACTTCTTGGACTTAATGGCAGGTATGGGAGGCAGGACTGTTGGTGGAGAAAGTTAACATCAGAAAAACATTTTCTTGATATTTTAGCTCTTTTCATGCAGGTTAGCCGCTGGAAATAAGGTGGAATTGAGAGTACATGGTCACTCAGTGTACAACCATAATGATTTAATCCAAAAAGCACAGTTAGAAAACAGTGTCTGAAGCCAGTGCTAGCTGTTTACTCTATGTGCCGCAGCTTTATGTGCTGTATGTATGTTTACTATGTGTTTGAAGTTTGGATTTCTAAATCTTGTTGAGGTTCATGTCCCTATGGAATAAGTCTCTTTTCAGCTTGCAAGGTAGTGTTTTCCAGAGGAGATTTATCTATCAAAACCAAACTTAACTTATCACCAAATATTTAGAAAAGCTGCTATGAATTTTACAACAGCTACTCTTAATTGCTTCCACAGCACATGAACTGGTCAACTGCAGATCTAAACCCACAATTTTCTCCTAACAAAGCTAAAGAAACAGAATTTTTAAACTAAGTAAGGAAAAGGGGAAATCATCTATGAATTCTTTATGCTTGTCAGCAGGATACCCAAAAGCATCCATTCATGACCGAAAGAAAGCATGATGGTTCATGTGTTCTCTTCGCATGTGTAGTAGAAATTACAGTTATTCAGTTATTTTTTCAAGTATGAAAATTAACATTTTCCTCCTTGATAATAGTGAAGTGCTCTTGAAGGCATTCTTTTTTTTTTTTTTTTTTTTTTTTTTTTTTTTTTTTTTTTTTTTTGTTCAGGGATAGAAATTTTTTCATGCTGACTATGAAGAAGTACTTCTTAACAGAAACTGCAACTTGGATCTATGTACCATTAATACTCAAGAAGAGTCATGGTGGGTGTGAAAAACAAAAGGTCATAGTTCCTCATGGATTTGCCAGTTCTGCAGTACCAGGCAGGATTTTGCAGTCTCCTGCCATACCTCTGGGAGGAAGGACAGTTTGAGCAGATTAGTTCTGTTATAGCAGCCATTCCCTGAAACCCAGGCCTGGCAACATGCAAAATTGAGACACCAGATAGCCTAGTGAGAATAGCTTGCAGACAGAGGTGTAGGGATTAAATCTTAGGCATTTTATGATATACTAGCTATCATCTATTATATATAAATAAAGCTATCATCTATTATATATAAATAAACGACCTGAAGATCTGCTTATGAAAAGCAGATTCTTGAAAAGAACTAAGTTGAGTAACTCACAGGTAAACTGTATTCTTTGGGTTTTAGAAATTGCACAAGAGCATCACATTACTGCTAGAAGAAGTGGCAAGTTGGTTTTCAGTGTCCATGAATTTACCATCTATTCCTTTGTTGCTTTATGCAAACTTTGGACTATCCAAACAAGGATTGCTTTTTGAATGTGTAACTGTTCAGGGATTAGCACATAATAAAGGTCTCTGCATATCACCACAATGCAAATATTTAAGCATAAAAATAGTCTGTTCGTCTGGCTTGGACTGTTCATATGGGAGCCTTAAAAAGGATTCTTGAGTAATTAAGTAATTGCTAATGACAAGAGTCAACGGTCTTTAAAGGGCATATATCTTCTTCATATATATTATTACGTGTTCCTGTCTAGGACAGAAATCTGCTGTTTGAACCTCATGTAAGAGACTTTTCCCAGCAAATTGAAATTGAAGTCTTTTTCTGGGTATACATTTAAGATAATTGACATTTGTCAAAATTTGAGTGCAAGACTGAATACTTGTAGAGGGTATTTATACTCAAAAATGCAATATAGAGTTTATATTTTGATTTTTACTGCCTTGGGAAAATGTTATCTCAAAATTTGTAGATCTTGTATTTGCAACACAATAAGAAGACATATCTTTAGCTGTAGTCAATATAGAAATTGTGTACTTTGTGTTAACCAATTAAACATTATACACAGAGGAAGCTATTAATCATTTCAGAAGAGAAGAATACTTGAAATCTGTTTTCAAAGAATGTAATGGAGTTGTCGCAAAAATAAGCTTATCAGTTAAAGTAATTCAAGGTTTTGAAGAGCTTTTTCCCTCTGCTTTTTGAACTGGAAGAAAAGCGAGTAGTTTCTCAATATGCTTTCCAAACATTTCCAAACATAAGACAAGGAGTATGATCCTAGATGACCAAATAATCTTG